ACATTTTTATTATATTTTCCTTCAGTTGTTTCCCTTGGAATGTGCATAGGTCTACATTTTGTTGGCTATCGTCGGTACACCCTGCAGCATCCATACGTCTACTGAATCTTAAACTGTATTATTGTATTGCAAAGCAACGTGTAAAGTTAATACATATAAAAAGAAATAAAAAAATAGTTTTACTCAAAACTTTATTTTACAAAACTAAACTAATCAAATGACCTTGTACGAGCTAAAATGTTTTCAAAATTCTCTGTTTACAGTAATAATATAATAGAATAAATGTTTACTATTTGCAATGGAACTTTATTGTCTATATGTTACTGAAGCATATAGCATAGCAGATACTTCAGTAGTTTGTGGGATACAATACTGCTACATCCCGCCATTTAAATGTATATTAAAAGGTAAATAAACTTGCGCAAATAATATGCTGTCTGAAGCATGTATGATACTTGCTCTCGATAAATACATATATGGTACTTGTACTCATTACAAATATGCGTAATATATGCACTCAATAAAACACGTGTAATACTTGCTCCAATGAAAACATCTATGATACTTGCATTCAATAAAAGCATGTGTGATACTTGAACTCAATAAAACATGTTAACGTTTAGGGTAGTAAAGTTTACGCTACATTTGTGTAAGTGGAATAAAACAAACGTTCTGCGTAACAAAATTCAAGTTATTTTAGAGAAACACTGTTTATAATATGTTCATGAGTGACGTTGTACAATTATTGATGCAGTTTTTCATGAGTGACGTAGCTACGAGGGGAAAACATAATAACTGATATGCGCAACTGCAGTGTTATGTAAATGGTATAGCAAAAATGAATTGTATGGTAATTTGAACGCCATGATTAATAAAATGTATATTTAATTGCTATAAAAAAAATTACATTAAATGTTTACAGTTTTCCCTTACCTCACTGAATCATTTATTGTGATATCATCGACAAAATGACACAATTTCATACTTTTTCTAAACAAATTAACCAGATGAATTAGATTAATTATTGGAATATAATTTGAAATTGAAGTGTACAATTTCTCATTGTTTCACGGGACCGTTTTTATACTGTCTTATACCTTATGAACATACATTGAAAGCTTCATTTTGAAGTCCTCATTCACTAGAACTGTGTTAGTGTGCCGTAAAACCAACCAAACAAACAAAATCGACTCTGAGACAATATTGTCAAGTGTGCTGCGAAGTCCTTTTCCAAGGATATATACGAGAATTTACTTATGATTATTTATGAGATAATGAAATATTATCACTCAGATTATTCACAGTTTGACTCAATCATAACAGAAGGTCTGAATTATTAATTAATAAAACATTTATTATTCCAATGATGTATAAAGTATATAAAACTTATCAATTTGTTTTATTTACTGTGAACAATGAAAGTTATACTAATTATTAGACGAATCCTAAATCACGTCAGTATGAGCACCGCTATTTTTAAAGGGACGTCATGTCACGTCAGGTTTCAATAAATGTCAACCAAAAAAAAATAGGTTATAACCAAATTATAAACTGTTTTTCTAACTTTTATTTTTTTAACTTATTCAGGGGCTAAACGGCAAATGTTGAGTCGGGATGGTCTCAATTTTAGTCTAGAAGGTTCTGAAACTTTTGGCATCTACCGTAGAAGATTTAGTTCTACCACAACTTAATGACTCCCTGACACCTAAAGAGAATTTTGTCGGACCACAACGATACAGCGACGTTATCAGAACAACGATGATTAACTCGCAAGTAGTGTGTGCTTCACGTAAGTCGACATCAACTTCAAATATGCGTGTGTTGCAAGAGTGTAACGTGTACCGAGCGAATGTACAACAAATATATAATAATTTTTTCTTTGGGCTACCTGCTGTTTGATTAGATACAAATGATTCTTAAATGATCAAATATTATAAACAATCAATTTAAATCAATAGTAAAGTTTTTCTCAAATAAACTCAAAATGAGCAAGTATACAATAATTCCACAGCCTAATAGAACACTAATTTAACCAATTCAATATAGATATCAAGCCGCAACCCGATAATCTCCTATAGTCCAGTAACTACCTCCCTATCTTTAAAGCGAGGCTTCTCTATTTTATTGTCACATCCGTGTTATTTGTGCCGTGTGGCGGCTGTGAAAAGTTTCCCCGTACATTTAATCAATGATGTTTTATTTTCGATCCTTGAAGATCGTTCAGCACGACACTATTGTTGTGTATAAATGTTATGTGGTACTTTTAGTTTCTTCTATTTGGCCATTTTTAACTTTGGTGGTTCCAGTATTCCTACTTGAATACTGTATAATCACCCTTAGGATATGTTGCCTGCTTTTTAAATTTGTATTTTGACGTCTTATCTGTGATATGCAGGTTTCATAACCTCAGATCCCCTTTCAAAATTCCATTTCATTTAGTTCCGCCCATTGTCTTCTCGTTTAGGGCGAAAGCATTCTTTTACTTGGGGACCATTCGCCGCTTTTCATGGAATGGCACTACTGTGTCACATTGAAAGGTCCATGATAACCGCCATATGAAAAGATCTGCGGGTGTTTTTAAATTCAAAATTTCACCATTTTCGTGTTAAATGTTGAATTCTGCTTAAGCCGGTGTTATGGGGCGTGGCGGTAACTTGCAATTTCCAGTACCGTCCATGAACAGGCTCAATCAAACCGAGCCTGCAACATTTTTAATTTTGTTGTGTTGGACTTTCTTTAGGGATTCTGTTTTTCTCTATTCTATTTAGATAGAAAGATAAGTTGCTGGTAGGGATTTATAACAAAGTTCCAACTATACAAAGCTTATTCGTTTTATATCTACCTCTGGATTTTTAATACATTGTACCTATATGTTACCAATTCCCTGATAGCGAGACTTTCAGAAATTGTGGAGTTCTATAAGTACCCAAAGTCAAATGCAATTTCACATACTTTGGCCAATTTTTCTTCTCTACCTATGAAGCTAAGCTTCAATTAGATAGACGTAATTTTCCTCTATGTATTAAGCGAGGCCTGGTCCCGGTAAATTCCTCTGCAGACTGAGTAATTCTTCTTCTTCTTTTAAGTTTATTTTAGCTCGGCGCCGGAAATTCCATATGTCCGAGATCTCAGCGTCCATGCCGGTCCACTCTAGAAGACGCATCGGGGACGTCTTTTTCATGCCGATCTCCCTAAATCCTGTACTTCGGTCGATGGAGGAAAGACAATACTGGAAAAGCATCAAGTTTCGTGACGGCTGCAAACAGGCGGTTGACATAAAACGGCTCTTGTTAGCGCCACCCTCCAGAGTTAGTCACGACAGGTCAACCAATCATCTCTGGTACTTGCGATGACTTGACCTTGACCTGCCGTGTGCCTTCTCCGCGACGTGCATGCCTCCGGAAGGATTAGGAGAAGACTGAGTAATTTTGCTCTAATCGCCGTATTTATACCTGCTGAGAAAGAAAATACTGGAAAAGCATCAAGTTCCGTGACGGCTGCAAACAGGCGATTGACATAAAACGGCTCTTGTTAGCGCCACCCTCCAGAGTTAGTCACGACAGGTCAACCAATCATCTCTGGTACTTGCGATGACTTGACCTTGACCTGCCGTGTGCCTTCTCCGCGACGTGCATGCCTCTGGAAGGATTTGGAGAAGACTGAGTAATTTTGCTCTAATCGCCGTATTTATACCTGCTGAGATGATCGCTCAAGCATGACTTTATTTTCATTGGCTGATTAGCATAATCATAACCACTGAGACGTTCATTACATTATATGATATCAAACGTTTATTAAAAAATACGTATACCAAACGTATATTCTAAAGTACCGTAAACTTAAATATATTGTCGCAATATAACCAAAAAACATAATAGATAGTAAACACTAAAATCATTTCAGTAAGAGATATCACCATTTATAACAAGCTGAGTAAAAATGTCTAAACGTTACAAGAGCAAAGAAAATCGGCTCTAGCTCCAAAAAATATGATAAACAAGATCAACAAGGAAAGGTTGCGTTCAATGAACGCAAATTCATTGAAGTTGCGCTTGTGGTCTACGCCTTCTAGAAAACAGTCAGTTCCTACCAGCCAACAATCACCACATTCCCATCAGACTTTAGTAACGTTTAATATGTATGAATGTCTGGAAGTACACGAACCTAGATATGTCATGACGTCCACTACTTCCACTACGTCGTTGGTAAGAAATTGAAAACGAAAAGAATCATTTGACACGGAGCTTGATGAAATTATCCGTTGGATCGAAGACCCGCACAAAATTCACAAAGTAATTTAATTTCAAGGATTATATAATGCCAAATAGTTTATATATTTATAATAATGCACGTCTGTAGCGTCTCTTTTCGTTGTAAAATCGTAAATTATTTGTGCTGCAAATAAAATCGTAAGATGATATCAATAGATTATATTTTCACGAATTAGAAGTATATTTGACTGAGGAAGCATCAAAGTTTATTTGTATAATATATATTATTCGTTAGCAATCAATGGCAAAATAGCACCCTTGTCTATCGGCACGGGTTATATAATTCAGGGCCATATAAGATATATCATTATTGCCATAAATATTTTCTTTATTTTTATAGGGATGTTTCTCACCAATACGGGTAAATAACAAAAAATATTTAATTTTTATATCCATTTATTCTTTACAAATAATGTTATCCGGACCGATGTTATATTTTGCCTTTAAAAAGTGCTTACGAATATTAAACGAAAAGAACATTCAAAGAGAGAATGGAATTCGTCACCAATACCTATGCAACATTGAGTACTGATTCTTATAAAGTAAGGAAAAACAGTATTGCAGTTGATATAACATTACATAAAAATAACATTGATACATCAAAGTCAAACACAGCCACAACTGTTAGGTCGGTATTTAGAACTTTTATGAACGATAGCGAAAAAGTATCTCCATGTACATGTATATGGTAACATTCACAAATTAACTATGTATTTAATTGACGGGTCGTTTCGATAAAATTATTCCGATGACAAATGATGAAGTGCTGTGCAATTTCCCAAGTAATGCGTTTTAACATTTATTACATCCGTCATTTGTCTGATCTATAGCGTATGAAAAAAGGAAGCCAGGGAATTGTTGTCTATGACGTAAGGTAATGGTTAAAACAACTGAATTAATTGGTAACAAATTATACTTGAAACTGAAACTTTATTTTTAGTAGTTCTGCAACGCAACATGAATATTTTATTTTGGTTAATTGATTAAATTAAATGTTCTATAGTATCCATACCTGTGGAAAACAAGATATTTTCCTGGCCCTTTTGTTAGCGAATCTGCAAGTTTACTTTACACCAGTTTACAAAAGACATTTGCTTTGCTATAATGACAGTAAACTATCGTTTTACTGAAACCAACAACCAGGGGCTGTATGACTGAACAACCAAGCCGTTGGAATCATCTGACATCCAGCTACATGCGCACATCTGGTACCCCATGGATCGTGCTTGTATAACTTCTGTCGGGGAGGCAATAGTTGTTCCATAGTCAATGCATTGTTGCTTAGCTTGTTCAAAGGTCATACTGTAGCGCCCATGTTGACCAGTGGCGTGAAAAACTGCAAAATATATAGATCAAGTGAAATACAGATATATATTATAAGAAGTGGTACGATTAACTTGATCTGGACAATTGGAAATGGTCTTGTTCAAGATTTTTTTATTCATTCGACTTTTTATATCTATTTAAATAATAATACAAGCAGATTTATATGTGAAAAATACTAGATTAATTTATGACAAATGAACTATGTGAACAAATGATATTCCTTGTTTACTTCTTCTCATAGACTCTGAGAAAGTTTATGACTCATTATCTTGGAATTTTGTATCAACATTAACTCATTGTGGATTTCTTTCCAACTGTATTAAAATTTAAAGGGGTTGTCGTCAAGTTGACCCTTTATATTAAATTGTTATATTTTATCTTTTGTTCAGAAAAACTATCAATAAAAAATTAGGTCAATTAAAAAGTCAATGGTAATTCAATGAGCAATACTGAACATGAATAATTTAATACAAACGTTGTGCTCAATGGCTCTGATGAATCTTTAAATAAAGTTCTAAACACACGAAGTGGATTTTTTCTCTGTTTTCAGGTCTTAAAGTCAATTTTGACAAACTAAGTTGTTTGGATTGGTAATCTTAAAGTCATTTCTACAGTTTTAGAATAGAATTTTCTATTTTTTTGTATGATAAGTAAAATTTTAATGGCGAATTAAATATAAAAAGAAATGTATATGTTGACCGTGTTAGATTTTTTTTTTGTAAAATGGCAGTTTCCATGTAACCGTATATATAAAAAGTGTCATAATAGCCACACTGTGTTTATAAAAAAATAACATGTATAAGACATTTATGCAAAAGATAATTTTATCAAATGATTCTGTATGAAACAAATGATAATTTTAACATATTTCCTTAAAATATGATTTTTCAAGCTTCTTTATGAACAAAAAATGAGCAAAATAACATTAACTCTTTAAGTTATTAAAATTTCGAAATATTTTCTTTCGTAGAATTTTCAATTTTTTTGCATGATAAGTAAATTTAATGATAATTTTCAAAAATAAAAATGAAAATACAATGATGACGTGTTGGAGTTTTTTTTTAGTTGACAGTTTCCATGGTAACCGTATATATCTTCTCAAGTGTCAAAATAGCCACACTGTTATAAAGTGTATTAGACAGCTTATTACGCACAACAAGCATACTTTTATACAAAGACAATTTTATCTAATCATTCTGTATGTTAGAAAAGATAATCTGAACATATTTCTTCTATATTTCATGCTTCTTTACTCAACAAAAAAAAATGATATTCAAAAATAAAAATATAAGTTGACGAGGGCAGTTCCATGGTTACCGCATATGCAATCTATCAAAATGACCACGATTTCTTACTTATTAGTGCTATACCAGATGCATTGATATATATACAACAACAACAAATTGAAATATAAATTTGTATCATTTTATGTTAATGATTGATGTAAATTATACTGAACATGTTTTCATAACAAGTCTCCCATAAGGACTATATATTATTTCTTCCCAGTGCTAACATACGAGCATAGTAAGCAAGTATTTAGAAAAAAGGAAGATTTATTAGATGTTAATTTTGTTTTTCTAATCAACATTTTTTAATATATCGTTTAGCTACCCTAATTTAAGTGGTGACACATTTTCGTCATTACAATAACAGTTCAAATAGCATTAAAACTAAATTGAATTAATCTGGAACCTATCTACTTTAGATATGTTAAGTATAAAATTTCAGGTATAACCTACAAAATGGTGGCAATGAATTATAAACAAACAAATGAGCAAAATGCAGAAAATATTATTCAATTGGAAACGAAGAAATTTAACTCTAACTGGAAAAATTGTAGTCGTTAATTTTTTGTTGTTATCTATAATATTCACATATTTCTTTGCAACATTGCCGAATCCAAATCCTAATATTATTAACAAATTAAATGAAACGTTCAGAGAATTTGCTTGGCTGAGTCAAAGTAAAATTAAACAAAAGGTCTTTATGCAAAATACTGATAAATGTGGTATTGGAGTGATTGACGTAGAAGCATAATCTCGGGTAAAAAGAATATTAATAAATTATTCTAAATCGATAAGTTTAGCATGCTCAATTTTTATGTAAAGAAATTGATTAATTGTGGTATTGGGTATTTAGAAATATAGTGAAATAAAAATTATTTTGGAAGCTTCAAATTACATGCCTTGTAAACATTTAGAAGCAAAGGAAAATGAGTTATTTTCTCATCCAATTTTCTCTAACCGTTTGATAACTTTTGGCAACCAATCTGTGTTCTTTAAAAACCTGGTTTAATGCATGTTACATTTCATAGGTGATCTTTGGAACCAGACAGACAATTTTATAATTTAAATGAATTTAATGACAAATTTAACATAAATATTAACTTTATAAATTATCTTCGTATTTAGAATAGTGTATCCAATTTCCTTTTAACTTATGAAAGAACAAACAATGTCCTTCAAAGACGTTTTACACCACCATTCTTAACCACCATTCTTACACCAATGTCCGGTAATTTGCTCAATTGTTGTAACTTTATCCTAGGTTTGGAAGATAGTAATTCAACTGCTATAAAAATCTTTTTTTGAAAAGATTTATTTACACCTGTAGAGTAAAAGAACAGGTACCAAATACTACAAGAGCACAGCAATATATAAAGTACCAATTTATAATAAAGATACCTTCCTTAATACATGGAATCTGTTTTGTGAAAAGATAGATCCACACTCATTCTTTCTAATGTTTTTAAAACTAAAAACGATGACAAAAATAAAAAATAACATACAATAACATATAATTTGCAAGTTTTTTCCCCATTCTGTTAGGTTAAAATACATATAATAAAGTTTCGTAATACATGAATTATATGTGACAAATTATTATTATATGTAACATTTGTAATTGGAGAATTATGGTCTTTATCTCGAATGTGTAGGAATAAGCTATAAGGTTATAAACATACGTTCGAATCCGTTCCCGGAACCAACCAGTACTGAGCAATGAGTGTAAAGTGTTTTGATCAAGGAAACAACGACTTGTCCCTAACGGGGTTTGAACCCATGCGGCTAGTGGTCATAAGATTACTAGTCCGACACGTTAACTACTCAGACATGCCGCCACTTGTAATTCGTATGTTGTGCACATATATGTTATATGGTATAGAATAGGATGCCCTCGACCTACATATACAGTCATATTGACGAGGAAATAAAGAACATGGAACAAAAAATACAAGTTTATATTTATCTTAATTAAAATCTTTAATCTCAGCCGTTTTGATATATAAAAGTAGTAACAAGTTGTTACTGCGTCTGACACGTCAAATGTGGGATACTGACTTCTATCAATGTCAACCGCCTTAAAATTATATAATTATATATTATCATTTCAGGTCGAATTGAATATTACCATACCTAAAAAAAACTAAAAATACTAGATTCAGAACTTCAATAAAAGAAATATTGAAAATTTAATACAAATATGATGTTTTCTAAGGAATAGAAGGACTGTTTATTGCAAAGATATAATTAACGAAGAATCATGCGCATTATCATACTCAAAACATAATATCACATAATATCACACATAGTTGCAAGAAACAGGATATAAAGTATACAGTGAGCAGCTGTGAAAAGTAGCCACTTTCAGGTGCAACAATTTCATGAAAGAATATCTTTGTTCGATTGGTTAAAAGTCAAAATTAAGAAAAGTTTTATTTGTTACCTGGATATCTCATCTTCGTCATTGTAGTCCATCCGTCAGCAAATAACAACCCACTGGGAGTACCAGGTATCTGCAGACCGTCATCAATTGTATCGTACGCCGACAACAGACAATTTTCTGTCGGTGATTTAAATGATACCGTAATACAATATTGCTGCATTGAACAATATATCAAACAATTAGCAAGACTGCTAGAACTGGTTTCATTAGATATATTCTCATCTTTGAGTTTGTAGTTTATCCGAGCTTTATGTTTGATATTTTGTTCCGCTAAACATAGTTGCAGTATTATATATGTTACAAAAATTCGCTTACAGCCTTTTGGAGACATATCCAATAAATAAACGTGTTTTTAACAAATACGTTTTGAATAGGTCAATGTTGCTACAACTGGGATATGATCGTTACTAAAATAAAAAAGCGTGTCGTTTTGTTAATGATCAATACGTCATAATAGACATCCTTATAAATAATTCAGGCATAACTTTAAACGCCAGTGATGTAGAAATAAATCTATTATTTTTAATATGTTTTAAGCCATGCCTATCGTGGAAAGGTCACAAAGAAACGGGCTTGTCGATATATGCAGTCTCTATGTTGGAAAATCAAGTAAAATCTCACTAAATGCATCAAATTATTGTAAAACTATGCTTCAATTTACTACCAGTCAATTCAGTAATGGCACGGGATTGTATATTATGGTAAAGAGCGGAAAAATATAATAGCTTGCTATTTAAGTCTGAATATTTCAAAAGCTTCTTTTTAAAACTTTATCCGTCATATCAACTATTGAACTTCACTGTGACGTGACCTATTACGTGGTTTATGAAATAGGATGGCCGATCACTCATTACTGCAAAACCGAAAATGTTGAAGGCTCGGTTTTATTGAGCCTGCTCATGAACGGTAGTAGTAATGACTAGCCCTCCCCCAAACGGTTTAAGCAGAATTCTACATTTAACATGAACTTTTTTGAATTTAGATATAACCGCAGATGTGTTCGTATGGCGTTTATCACGGAACCTTCAATATGAAACGTAAGTGCCATTCCACAAAAAGGGTCATATGGTCCCCAATTAAATATGCGTGTGTAAATATCAGGAAAAATGTTATCCCTCGGAAGCATTAAAAAGAACAAAATTACATGAACATTGCAGACCCGGTTTGATTGAGTTTGTACATGAGGAAGTGCAACATCCCTCACGTCCCCTGAAGATATAACTATGTAGGTAGGTGTCTCTTTTCACAGAAATGCTTCTGATGAAAGTAAAATGTAAATAACCCATAAATTTGCCACTGTTTACAATTTTGTCAGATCGCAATAGCAATGCCACGACATATCAAACCAAACGATAGGCCACTGTGTACTGGTTAATCATAAATTAAAGTTCCTTTAACACCACCTTTCCTTTTTGATCTAGTTTACCATATTCCCTGTTGAAAATTGTGATCGCCAGTGTTTCTAGTATAACAATTTCGCAATAAATGATGTTTTACACACGGAAAACATGTTATTACTAAATGATATCAAGCTAAAATTTATTTTTAAACATACATGCAATGAAAACATGTACACAGACTCTAGTTGCAAGACCGTAAATCATCTTTCAATTTCAACACTAACAGCGGTCGTCAATAATACCGAAGAAACAGAAGAAAACAAAAGTAACATGTATCACTAAGATGAAGTACAGTACTTTTTATCTTTTTACGACTGCCAGAAAATAGTCTAAAAATCGGTCATCGTTGAGGCATAATAACGAAGTACTTTGAGGCGTACATAAATAGATGGGATATTGTAATAGGAATACACCCAACCCACCCTTCCCTAATGCTGAAGAACTCTTTAAACACATCAATATCAATTTATGAATGCTTAAAAAGTTAAAATCATAACATTGATAGTTTAACTGGGTATGTGATACTCAGGGTATGCCAGGATAGCAGCTTGTAACCAGTGGCAGAGTTTTGACTGATCGTGAAAACTTATGACATTTTGTATTTTCGTATTAATCATTAACGGATTAGATGAAAAAAATGCATGTATACAAACTATATATTGTTCAATGCTTGATGATGTAAATGGAGACTATTTCTATTAGGGAATGCAAATTTACAGCTCGAATTTGCTATTCCTTTCATTATCTGTTTACATAAATATTGACTGATAGGGGTGACGATAATTCTTATATAAAAACATAATATTTAAATAGCTTTAATATTTAACTAGCACTTCTTATCTGTTCAGCGTAACAGCGTAGTTGAAGAGTGTTGTCTTTGTGATAGAAGAGACCCTGGTTCGAATCCTTGATGAAGCATTTTTTTCTTTTATTTGTAGAACTTTTAACAACGAACTTCATTTCAGTTCTCATGAATTTCATTCACACACTATTTGTACACACATTCGCATTCAACAGGTTAAGTTACAGACAACACAGTCGTGATTAGGGTGATAGATAAACAATTAAGGGAAGAAAAAATATACAATGTATAAAAAAATCAGTCAACATTTTTTAAAATGTGGCGAATGGAATTCAGAGTTTCAAACAGAATAAAATGTTAATTATGACTGTCTTAATCTTTAATGACGATAAAAATAAGAAACATTCATTTTTTTAAACCGTCTTAAGTCTAACTTTAAATTGTGCAAATCATTAAATAAATTACATGTTTTTATTACATGTTTTACGGTGGTTTATAGTTTATAGAAATATATCAGTGATATAAAACTGATAATTTCACTAGTTTAAACAATTATCAATTTGATAATTTCATTGCTTTGAATTTAAGCCTCTTCCGTTGTTTCAGTGGAAAAAAACAGCGCACACAGTACTGGGAACCAACTTAATGATGTGATGTCGTAAATGACGTCACGTTGTATTATTATTTGGCGCGCTTTTCATTCAGTATTTGGTTTAATATCTTTTGAAAACGTCTCCGCATATAATAAAAAGAACATTTGTTACGTTTAGTATTAGGTCGAAATATATCTCAATTTGTGAATACCAATAGTTCATATTTCACTCGTGGCTGTGCCACTCGTGAAATATACCTTTTTGTGCTCACTCGTTGAAATATATTCCGATCTAACACTGAACTAAACAAATATCCTCTATAGAAAAATATAAAATTAAATGTAAGGTGACACCTTTTTAAAGTATTTTCTGAAAGTAAAAACCATACTAAAAATAATATGCACAATTGCAGATTTGAACTCGAAATTTTTTTTTCATAACGTCAGCTCTTCATAATCTGAACTCTAACCAATATGCTCCTTGGATGTACGTGTTGGTATCCACTTTTTTCTTCTATATTAAAAACATTATAATTGCATAACGTGCACAACCCATTTTATCGTAATGATATGACCGATTAATGTAAACGTTATCATGTTATCGACTTATAATTTACTTCCGTGTTGTGTAATCAATAATAATAATCTTTCGATTTGAAAGTATAGCGATTTGTTTGACTCAAAGTTAGTATCACAACACTTTCCTAACTAGCATCAGTTGAAGGTATAGGAGGGTCGAACATTAGTTAACCATTTATCATTCAATTTCATGTTTTTGTATTTTATTTTGCAAAGCCAATTACTATGTTTATATTTATGCAAATCATCCAGTGTACGACATAACATATTGAAATTATTAAAATTTACATAGGCATGTATATCAAAGTTATGAAAATAAGAAAAGAAGACACACACAAACAAAAACGAGAAATGAATAATCAAATGATTTATCCACTTATGCTGCATATAATGAAAAATAGTGAAAGAAATCTAAAATCGAGGATTCGAATATGCATTTTCACAATTGCAATGCCATCTTACTTACCACTTGGAAAAATCGGGTCGTTATTATGCAAATGAAAGTATCGAGAACTTACTATCATTAAAAATAAATGGGTAAATCGTAATGAATTACGGAAACTAACGATAAATCTCCTGATAATTAATCAGTTTCAAGTAAATATTGCCAAGTAATACTCTGGTGTAGAACGTTAAGGTGTAAAATACTAAATTAAAGGGGCATCATTGGTCACCTGGACAACTATGTAAGTGTATTTTATTGGAAATCGGCTTGGACTGCTCGGATTTATTTTGTTTCGAAGTAGATGTCGCATGGATAGTCATTGGTAAATATATAAAAATTGGCGCCAAAATGGAAGTTCGGCAACCTGAATGGACAAGAGCATAAGTTGTGCTTAGATGACCGGTAATTTGCAAGTTCCTAACTCGGGGAATTTAGATATATTGCCTGTTCGGCGTTATCTTAGGTTGCGGAGTAGAACATTTGAGTATTGACAGTTTTACTTAGTTTCTTGGTTTGTTAATATGAATCATTTGTTTCATTTTTTTAGTTAAGCTATACATACAGCTAACGGGAGCTGATATTGACTACTAGTTCTAAAGCTATATATTCTGGATATGATTTAAAGGTGGAACGAATGTTACTAATATTACTAGTCTGATTGAATGCGAAGACAAAATAAACTTACACAATCATATCAATAACACACATATATACTATAGGTAATAGAAAGAGCACCGAAACACGAGGCTATTTGATTTGTACGAGGGGGGCGTAGCCCCCAAATATTAATCAGGTTGCCGAGTGTTTTGGTGTTCTTTCTCTTTTGTATCATAGTCAAACATAAAAACACGTTCCCTGTTGTCACAATATGAAACCCCGGACAAAAGTAACCAATGACCAAGCATCTGAACATCATATTTCTGTCGCATTTCCTTTCTCTGCCGTCACAATAAATAAACCCCAGCAATAATAACCCAATCAATGGGCGTGCTTAGGATCCAATTAACGCACTGTGCATGTATATGTATACGATTTAACTCTTACACATTTTCAACAGAAAGGTCCCCAAACTATGATACAAGAGTGTTTTAGCGTTTTTCACAATTCGAAAATTCCATTTGATGTTTCATGTCATGATTATAACGCGAATCATTCATTACAAAATGTAGTGTCTGACCAATGAAGCTTGAAATTAGATTTGTTCAGTAATGTCAAAATGCGTCTTTGATTTTGTAAATACTTGTGAATAATTAAAAACTCTAAGTCCTACACAAAGCATTACTGGTGATAAATTATTACAGACATTGACATCCATGTAGACTTATTATTTTGCTTGACAAACGAAGCCTTAAATTAAATTTCAAAAGCACAGAAAATTAAAACCACAAACCATTTACAATGTATTTTAAGGAAACAATAATTTTAAAACAAAGCATAGCAGATACGATGATTATACTTATCAATTAAATATTGAGTTCATTTTAATCATATTTTATTGCCTTTTTCTTTCTAACAGATACAATGTAATCTATAACTAGGAAAAAACATAATCGAATACATT